ATGGACATTTGGGCTCTTTTCATAATTTGGATATTGTTGATAGCGCTGCTATAAACATTGGGGTGCATGTGGCCCTTCAATTCAGCATTTTTGTATCCTTTGGATAAATACCTAGTAGTACTATTATTGAGTCATAGGGTGGCTCTATTTTTAGTTTTTTTGAGGAACCTCCATACTGTTTTCCAAGTGGCTCTACCAGTTAGTATTCCCACCAGAAGTGCAAAAGTGTTTTCTCCAGATCCTTGCCAACATCTTTTGTTTCTTGAGTCGTTGTTAGTCACTCTGACAGGTGTGAGGTGGTATTTTCTTGTGGATTTGATTTGTATTTCCCTGATGATGAGTGAGGTTGAGCATCTTTTCATGTGTCTGTTAGCCACCTGGATGTCTTTGGAAAAGTGTTCATGTCTTGTGCCCATTTCTTCACAGGATTATTTGTTTTTTGGGTGTTGAGGTTGGCAAGTTCTTTATAGCTTTTTGGACACTAACCCTTTATCAGATATGTTATTTGCAAATATCTTCTCCCATTCAGTCAGTTGCCTTTTAGTTTTGCTGATTGTTTCCTTCACTGTGCAGAAGCTTTTTATCTTGAGGTCCCAGTAGTTCATGTTTGCTTTCGTTTCCCTTGCCTCCAGAGACATGTCAAATAAGAAGTTGCTGCAGCCAAGGTCAAAGAGGTTTTTTGCCTGTTTTCTCCATAGGATTTTGATGGTTTCCTGTCTCACATTTAGGTCTTTCATCCATTTTGAGTTTATTTTTTGTGTATGGTGTATGAAAGTGGTTTAGGTTCATTCTTCTGCATGTCGCCATCCAGTTTTCCCAGCACCATTTGCTGAAGAGACTGTCTTTATTCCATTGGGTACTCTTTCCTGCTTTGTTGAAGATTAGCTGACCATACTTTTGTGGGTCCATTTCTGGGTTCCCTATTCTGTTCCATTGATCTATGTGTCTGTTTTTGTGCCAGTACCATACTGTCTTGATATTACAGCTTTGTAATACAGCTTGAAGTCCAGAATTGTGATGCCTCCAACTTTGGTTTTCTTTTTCAACATTGCTTTGGCTATTCAGGGTCTTTTCTGGTTCCATACACATTTTAGAATTGTTTGTTCTACCTCTGTGAAGAATGCTGGTATTATTTTGGCAAGGATTGCATTGAATGTGTAGATTGCTTTGGGTAGTATTGACATTTTAAGAATATTCTTCCAATCCGTAAACATGGCATGTTTTTCTATTTTTTGTGTCGTCTTCATAAGTCTCTTTCATAAGCTTTTTATAGTTTTCAACAGATATTTTTTTAACGTTTATTCATTTTTAATAGTGCATGAGTGGGAGAGGGGCAGAGAGGGAGACACACAGAATCTGAAGCAGACTCCAATCTTTGAGCTGTCAGCACAGAGCCCGATACCGGGCTAGAAACCAAGAACCATGAAATCATGACCTGAGCTGAAGTCGGATGCTCAACCAACAGAGCCACCCAGGCGCCCCCAGCATACAGATCTTTTACCTCTTTGCTTAGGTTTATTCTTAGGTATTTTATGGTTTTTACTATTATTGTAAATGGGATTGATTCCTTGATTTCTCTTGTGCTTCATTATTGGTGTATAGAAATGCCACAGATTTCTGTACGTTGATTTTTTTATCCTGCGACTTTGCTGAATACATGTATCAGTTCTAACAGTTTTTTGGTGGAGTGTTTCAGGTTTTCCACGTAGAGTATTATGTCATTTGAGACTGTGCTGACTGTGTAAATGTAATCATGTTGTTTTTCTTGTTCTAGATCAACAATAAAGCTGCCACTGGAGAGGAGGTTCCTCGTACCATTATTGTAACCACCCGTTCCCAGTATGGGTTACCAGAAGATGCCATCGTGTACTGTAATTTTAATCAGTTATACAAAATTGACCCTTCTACTCTGCAGATGTGGGCAAACGTGAGTATGCGTAGATTCATTATTCATGTTTAGAGACTACTAAAGATTATTATGTAGGCCGTTTCGCTGAGGCTGCCCTCTGTCCCTATTCAGGAGCTGTTGTGCTCATTTCTAAAATGTTGAAAAGAGTAGGTTTTTCAGACGTTTTTGATTTCTCTTTCCAGTGTCTAAATATTACAGCATGAGCCTTTTTAATTTATGTATTCAACACCAGGGATCACACTTTTTCTTTAAGAGCCATCTTGTATATATTTTTGGTTTTGCAGTCCATACCCTGTTAACATTTGCTGAACTCTGCCATTGGAGCAGGAAAACACCATTAAACATTGTGTAAATGTATGAGTGAGTGTAGGTGTGTTCCAATAAAGTTTTATTTACCAAAACTGGCAACATGCCAGATTTGGCTTCCAGGTTCTAGTTTGCCAGCCCATTGTCTAAACTGATAGCAAAGGTGTACATCTGCCCATACTTAACATTCTTGCAATACTGTAGAGTTATAACCAGGAAGGAATTGATTTATGCCATTACCTGTCAGTCCATTCATCAGACCAGTTTGCACAAACAGGACCCCTGAAAGTTTTAAACTTTAATATAACTGGCTCTTATATAGAGCTAAAATATCAGATGTGTGTGTGTGTGTTTAAAAGGAAAGGTGTGGGTGGAAGAGAAAGCCGATGAGTACAGGCTGACTATCCCTTAATCTTTAGTTGCAAGTGTTCAAAAAAATCCAAAAACTAACAGCTTTTTCAAAAGTTTATGGCAAATTTATTTGACAGCACACCTGCCCTAAACTGATGTTAGGCTGCTTTTTGGTCTTTTATATATTCCAATTAATATGAGTATTCCTACATCTCAGTGCAGAGGTACTAGTGTGTTTGTTTATAGGGAGTTGCTGCTGAGGGTATTATATATGTACTATACTGCTTTTTTGAAATCTGAAATCCATCTGTTCTCTTATTTTTCAGGGAAGGGATGGTAAACTTGTGTGGTAACATTGAATAGGTGTAGATCTAAATCAGGGGTTGGCAAGACTATGGCCTGTGGACCAAATCCAGCACACTGCCTGTTTTTGTAAATAAAATTTTATTGACACACAAGCTTGTTTGCATATTGTCTATGGCTGTTTTCCAGTGACAAGGGCAGAGTCAAGCAGTTATAACAGAGTCCATGTGGCTGCAAAGCCGAAAGTATTTGCTCTCCAGTCCTTTACAGAAAGTCTGCTGACACCTAATCTTGATTAAGCACATAAAGTTGGGCAAGTGTGAGCTGACTATTTGTTGTGTCATGGTGGGGGATTTAAAATTTGAGATGGAAAATTTCTATCTCATCGACAAAAATCACTGCCAGTAACAATTCCCACAGGACGCAGCTGCCTCAGATTTTGCCAATTAGTAACTTGTTTTGTGTCTTACATCAGTCTTCTCTTTCTTTGAACTCTGGGGACAGCTAAGCAGAACAGGAATGTATGATTCAGTTGATCTCATTCATCTATGAAGGAAAGACAAAGTTCACAGCAGGCTGCTCTGTGGGTGACAAGAGTAGACTGCTAGAATTATTAGAGCTCTATGGGAGCCTTTCTTGAGAAGGGTGGAGCTGCTACTAAAAATTATTCTTATTTCCCCCTTTCAGATTCTGAAGCGGGTTCCCAATAGTGTGCTGTGGCTGTTGCGTTTTCCAGCAGTAGGAGAACCTAATATCCAACAATATGCGCAAAACATGGGCCTTCCCCAGAACCGTATCATTTTTTCACCTGTTGCTCCTAAAGAGGAGCATGTCAGGAGAGGCCAGCTGGCTGATGTCTGCCTGGACACTCCGCTCTGTAATGGGCACACCACGGGGATGGATGTCCTCTGGGCAGGAACACCCATGGTAACTATGCCAGGTGAGTTGCTGATAAATCAAAGGAATCTTCTTTGTCCTTTTTATTTTTTTAAAGTTTATTTTGAGAGAGAGAGGATGAGGGAGAGAGAATCCCAAGCAGGCTCCATGCTGTCAGCATGAGCCTGATGCAAGGCTCGAACTCATGGACTGTGGGATCATGACCTGAGCTGAAATCAAGAGTCAGACACTTAACCAACTGAGCCACCCAGGCGCGCCCCTTCCTTGTTCTTTTTATTTATTTTTTATTTCCTTTTAACATATCTTTAGAAGTTTATTTCTTTTGAGAGAGAGCGCGAGTGGGGGCCAGTGGGCAGAGAGAGAGGGAGATAGAGAATCCCAAGCAGGTTTGTGCTGTCAGTGTAGAGCCTGATGCAGGGCTCGATCTCACAAAACCGTGAGATCATGACCTGAACCGAAACTAAGAGCCAGACACTTAACTGACTGAGCCACCCAGGTGCCCCTTTTCCTTGTTGTTTTTAAAATCTCCCTGGGGAGACATTTTTAGGTGAAAATTTGTGTACTAGAAACAGCATTTAGGGCAAGATGATAAATGAGCTTTGTTCATGTCTAAGCACTTTGCTTCATTCTCCTCCTCTGTATTGTGTGGGTACTTAACATAAATAACAATAACTGCCGTTTACATTCTCAGACATGCAGTTTGTTCCCTTTTTTATTACAGGAGAGACACTTGCTTCTCGAGTTGCAGCTTCCCAGCTCACTTGTTTAGGTTGTCTTGAGCTTATTGCTAAAAATAGACAAGAATATGAAGACATAGCTGTGAAACTAGGAACGGATCTAGAATAGTAAGTAAACTTCTATGAACAAATTGCATGGTAAAGGAGATAGATGCAGAAAATTTAGAGGGAATATAGGTGTTAGGAAATGAAATCAGTAAAAGAAGGCTAATATGAAATAGGTGGATTAGTTGTACGATCTCTAGATGAGAGAACTTTCTAAACTTTCGTAAACACGGTGGCCAATAGGTTTTACTATGTAAAGGGTAAATGGCTGAATAAAAGTGAGTCAAGAAAATTAAAAGGCAGGCAACAGGGGGAAAAAATCTTTCGTTTCTGATGTCAAGTAATAGTAGCCTGGCTATAGAAAGACTGAAGAACATTTATATCTTAAATTCTTTAATAGGAAAGTAAATAAGGAAATGAGCAGACAAGTCACTGAAGTGGAAATACAAATGGTTAACAGGGAAAACGTTTCAGCCTCTGTAGAAGTATAGATATAACACTGTGTTATACCCAGTATTTGCCTACAAAATAAAATATTTTTAATATGATACCATTGAGGGAGCACCGAGGTGCTGGCTTTTTCATACATCTCATACAGTGAGTAAGTTGGTATAACCCTTCCTCGAAGATTTTAAGAGCGTTTTAAAAAAACAAAACAAAAACCAGACATTTGACGCTAATAGGGCCAAATCTTCACTGTAGCATAAAGGGGGGGGGGGGAAGCATAACTTCAGTGCCCCAAGTGGGTGGGAATTAGAGGGGTGGTGCTTAGATAAGTGATGCTTTAGCCATACAATGAAGTAGTGTTTCTCTCTTAAATGAGGCTTTTCTTTCGGTGTTATGGGTAATTTTTTTCTTTGTGTTTTTCCGAGAAGTAGCATATTCTAGAGAAGTTTAAAAAAGCACCGTCTTTGAATTAGACTGCCTGGGTTTGAATCCATGCTCTCCCACTTAAGAGCTTTGTGACTTTGGGCAATTTAGTCTCTGTGCCTTGGTTTTTCCATCTGCAAAATGGGGATGAAGGATAGTACCTACCTTGCAGAGACTTGAGGATTAAAAAAAGGCGTTCCATGTAACGCACTTACAAAAGTTCTTGGTAAGCATTCAAAAGATATGAAGCATTTATTTTCAAAAATTTTCTCTATTGAACATCATATACATCTAAGAAAAATGGTTGAAAATTTTGAATCCAGCCATTAAAAAAAGTAAGATAGGTGTTCTTCAGTCCAATATAACTATAGTAAATCTTTTAGTGTATTTAAAAAAAAAATTTAGAGCTTAGTTGATTTCATACAATACTTTTTCCCAACATTCTGTTATAAAATTTTTCAATTTTATAGTAAACACTTCTCTACCTACTGCCTAGATTTTACCACTAACATCTTTGTATACTTAATCATGTATCTTCCCATCTATTTATTCCTCTATCCATCTAGCAGTCCATATTATTTGATTGATTTTGAAGTGAATTGCAGACATCCGTACTTCAGAATGGACATCGTTGGGGCGCCTGGGTGGCGCAGTCAGTTAAGCGTCCGACTTCAGCCAGGTCACGATCTCACGCTCCGTGAGTTTGAGCCCCGCGTCGG